TGATTGGTTCTTTCCCACATAGCCCCTTCCCACATAGCCACTCTAGGCAGGTTGGAGAATGTCTCTACTGCCCTTTTCAAGCAGTGGTGTGTGACATGGCCACAAGGTCTCCAGCAGGCAGCCTCAAGGCTTAGTCTACTTCATTAACACCCCTGCACTCCCATCAGATCCCTCCAAGCTATGGGTGGGCAATAACATGGCAGCAGTTTGCAAGTGCTAGCCCCTATTGGGCTGCCACCGTTGTATTTATCTGTGCATCTGCAAGTACAGGCTCTTGCAGCTCCCCTTGGCCACAGATCACTGTTTCCAGCCAATGGAGCTGTGAGAAACAATCCACTGGCAACGTGAACTGCAATCCTCCATATCTGTGGAGGCGTAGGTAAATAACAGTGGCAGCAGCCCACCATGGGCTAACCTTGGCAAACCAGATCCAGCCCACGGGCCAATATTTGCCAACCACTGGTCTAAGCACTTTCTTGTTTTGCATACCAAGAGTTCAAATAGACATCAATAGATTTCCCTAAAATGGGAGGACACTAGGGTAGCAAAATCATAGAACTGGAAGGGACCTCCAGAAGTCATCTAGCCTAGTCCCAGGCACTAATGGCAGGACTAAGTATCATCTAAACCAGGACTACTCAACATGCGGCCCGCGGCCCATTTGATTCTGGCCTGCAGAGTGGTTTGGGTTTATGCAAGGCTCCACATGTGGCCCACGTGTGGGATCCTTTGAACATGGCCTCCGCTAGGAACATGCTCCACACTGGCGAGTCAATATAATGATTTTCGATTGATACATGTTTAATTCCTGGACTGTCATTACTTATTAAAAGTGCTGTCATATGGGTGGAAATTGGGTAAATATTCCATGCTATGAATGTCAACAGAACTGACTTAAATGGGGCTTGCATGTTGTGTAGTCTTGCCTTAATCTTTGTATTCATGCTATTCAGTGTGAAAGAAGTTATTTGCATGTACAGTAGACTTCCGATAATCCAGAACCTATGGGACCTAGGTGGTGCCAGATCATCAGATATGCCGAACTATCAGGAGGTACTATAAGATGGTTATATATATACTGTATATGAAGTGTTCTTAACCCTTTTTATTGTACATACTGTATATTGTAATGTTTTAGTTTTTTAAAGCCTTTTTTACCCTTTTTGCTCAGTTCAGCTGCTGCCGCTGTTATCTTGTGACTCATTTTTTGCTGAAGCTCACTCAATAGACTCTTGCCATTTTGATGCCAGACTATCAGGAGTGCCGGACTATTGGATGCCGGACTATTGGAGTTTTACTGTATATGCAACCACACTTAAGTTGTGGCCCTCAGCATGTGATGTATGTATCACTGTGGCCCTCGGGGCTTCCAAAGTTGATCTAGACCATTCCTGACATGTGTTTGTCTAACCTGCTCTTTAAAATCTCCAATGATGGAACTTCCACAACCTCACTAGACAATTTATCCCAGTGCTTAACCAGATTGACAGGAAGTTTTTCTTAATTCCCAAGCCTCCCTTGCTGCAATTTCAACCCATTGCTTCTTGTTCTATTCTCATAGAGGTTAAAAAAAAAAAAAAAAAAGCTTCAGTGGGTAGCCGAGTTAGTCTATTCAGGAAAAAACAACAAATGGTCTGGTAGCACTTTATAGACTAACAAAACACGTAGATGGTATCATGAGCTTTCGTGGGCACAGCCCATTTTCTCCCTTCTCTTTGTAAAAAAACTTTCATGTATTTGAGAACTGCTATGTCCCTTCTCAGTTTTCTCTTTTCCAGACTGAACAGACCCAATTATTTCAATCTTCCCTCAGAGGTCATGTTTTCTAAACCTTTAATAATTTTTGTTGCTCATCTCTGGACTTTCTCCAATTTGTCCACATCTTTCCTGAAACGTGGCATCCAGAAGTGAACTCAGAACTCCAGTTGAGGCTTAAATCAGCACAGAGTGGAAGAATTATTCTTCGTGTTTTGCTCACAACATTTCTGCAATACATCCCGGGATGATGTTAGCTTTTTTGCAACTGTTACATTGTTGACTCATATTCAGCTTGTGGTTCACAGTGATCCCCAAGTCCTCTTCTGCAGTACTTTCTAGGCAGTCATTTCCCATTTTGTATAAGTACAGCTGATTGTTCCTTTCTAAGTGGAGTACTTTGCATTGTTCTTCTTGAATTTCATCCTATTTACCTCAGATCATTTCTCCAGATCATTTTGAACTTTAATCCTGTTCTCCAAAGCACTTGCAATCTCTTCCAGCTTGGAATCATCTGCAAACTTTATAAGTGTTCTCTCTATGCTATTATCTAAATCATTGAAGAAGATATTGAACAAACTCAGACCATGAACTATCCCTGCAGGATCTCATTTGTTATGCCCTTCCAGCATAAAAGAACCTAGACTGAAAATAGAATTAGTGAGTCCAAGTAAACCACTTTTGATTTGATAGAAGATGTGCATGCCTCTCAGATGTTTTTATCCTCACCTTCCAGGCTCTTCTTTACTGTAGGTACAGCTAGACTCCACCGGTTTTTTGGAAAAAGCTACACAAAATGCACTGCGCATTTTGCATAGCTTTTTCCAATTCTTTTGTTAGAAGAGGCTTTTCTGACATTTGGCCCATCTAGACTGGCCAAATATAGGAAAAAAACCCTCTTTCAGAAGCCCCCTTATTCCTCGTGGGGCTTCTTAAAGACGGCGTTTGCTCTTCTGCAAAATAAGTGGAAGAGCAAACGTGTTCCCTGGAAACAGAACAGTTCTTTTGGAATACCTCCGGGATCCTGGAAAAACTGGCGTAGTCTAGCCGTACCCTGTGTCCTATCTGCTGCCACTTACCCAGATGGCATGGTTATAATGCTCTTTATATAGCGTGGGCTGAAATGAAGAACCACAGTGTGGCCCTAACTTGAAATTGCTCCCAACTTTAGAGTTAGACATGCAATTCAGGAGCTGACTTCTGCAGCAGTTGGAGAGAAAACAACATATACAACTTGACAGGTTTTGGTACTACTGGAGGTTGGCTATCACACTTGATGAACCAATGAACTGATCGAGTGTGGCAGAGGGTGTACATTAATGAGCTATAGAACACAAAGCTTCATGAATTTTGGAGCACAAGTTCAAAGGCAGGATTTCCTTCAGCCCACTGAGAAACATCAGTAGCTGCTGCACATTCTGGCATAGCATCATGAAATAACCCTTTAAGAAGTAGTTTGGTAAAGAATTATACCATGGATGTTTCCACTGTGAAAGACCCTTCATAGAAAGGAAAAAATTATAGCTTTTTTTTCCTGACTAATTTGATTTCTTCTAAATTTTCTTCCTCTTCTTTCAAGTTTACCTGAACTATATGGATCCCATTTCACATCACCAGATGTTCTTCCAGCAACATTTAATCAGGCAGCAACCATTTTCAACCCACTTTACCTAGCACCTTGCATAATCATATATAATAGTGCAGAGTGGGTGTAAAATGCTACTAGCGTCAGGAAACCCTATATAGCTAAGACATTACACGTAAATTGCTTAACTTGCAGAAATAAACAAATGTCATTATATACCGCACCCTATCTCATGTTGCAGCTGTCAAATGTTCTAGGATCATTGAGAATATGCTGAGTTTCTGTGTATACTTAGAGAAAATAAATACTGTATCTCTAGTTTGCTGCCTCCTCTATGAAATCATGAACATAGCTCAAACCAGAAATAAATTACAATGCAATCATCTCATAATTAACTTTAGTTTATTCAGGCTGGTTTCACAATTAGGCATAATAAATTACATGTAAAACAACACCTATTTACGAAGTGGTCATGTATCATAGGCACCAGTAGATATGAAAACAGCAGTGTCACACAGAATGCAATACAATGTTGAATTGCTGAACTCAATAGGCCTTATTCTGCTCACAGTTACACCTGCACACATAAGAAGGAACTCCTCTGAAGCCATAAAACTGTGGTAAAGTCAAAAGCTGGACCACAATCATACCACACATTTTTCTTCACATTCAAGAGTTGAACCTGTAATAGGGAATAATATATGCCTAATCCAAATGGTATGTTTGAAAGGACATTGTTCAGTTAAACATTCAAAGGGACTCTGATTAATCTGGGTTTACCGGTGCTTTCTATGGCTAGTGTCAAAACGCATCGGAAACATAAAAATTAATTTGGCCTTATATTTAAAAATAAAATAATTATTCTTATCTTCTTATTAACCATTTTGATTATTAAAACACATTTCAGTGTTTGTATAGTTTACTGTTTAAAGTGCTCCACAAAAATACAATAATTGATCCTCAGAACACATCTGTGAGGTAGATTAACAGTATTATCTCTATTTTACAAATGGAGAAGCTCAGGCAGGAAGCTGAAATGACTGAGACAAGGCAAAAAAGTGAAGCAATGGAAGAAAAGGGATTAGACTCGTGAGTCATTGAGTCTACCAGCTCGTACTTCACGGAATAAAAAAAGATCATTTTCAGAGGTGAATAGACTTCTCACTATTTCTCTCAGCTTGGACAATAATAGACTTTCCAAATTACCCTACAATTTCTAGTTACATTCATTGTCAGGGCCATAGAATCATAAAAATGTAAGATTACAAAGGTCCTCGATACGCCATCTAGTCTAGTTCGCTACACTGCAGTATGACTAAGTATTCTAGACCATCCCACATTCTAGCACAATGCTACTCAACTTTGGAAGCCCCAGGGGCCATAATGATACTCACAGAACATGCCGAAGGCCACAACTTAAGTGTGGTTGCATATACATGCAAATATATATGCAAATAGCTTCTTTCACACTGATGGGCATGAATACAAAGATTAAGGCAAGACTACACAACACGCAGGCTCCATTTAAATCAGTTCTGTTGATATTAATAAAATGCAATATTTAGCCAATTTCCACCCATATGACAGCACTTTTAATGAGCCATGACAGTCCAGGAATTTAACTACTAAAATGCATATCAACAGAAGACCATTATATTGACTATTTTTTTTGTTTCAACTCCTACCAACGAGCCGCAAACAAACGGGCCGCGGGCCACATGCAGCCCCCGGCCACTTGTTGAGTAGCCCTGCTCTAACATAAGTCCATATCAACTAGGCAGCAAACACTGTAGAAAAATGTTGGTCTAAACAGAACCTATTCAGCTGTATTTTTTAAAGGCTACACAAATATCTCTTAGAGATTATTTTTAATGCTTGTTTTTACAAAAAATCAAAATTTTGGGCCAAGTTTATTTTTAACATTTAAAAGTCTGTCTTTACAAATACGATGAAATGCACTTACAGTGAATTTGGACATAAAGTAACTAGTTTTTTTAGTTAAATAGAATGAAAATCCTTGATTTCTTATGATGGGAAAACTGAATTTTTATGTAGAGTAAGAATGAAATTACTTCACAAATAGCTTCTATTTCTGAATATCAGGAAAACTGCTCTGCCACTGTGCAATAATCACCACCTTACCAAACAAACAGAAAGTATTTATAATGTGGCATAATGTTTCTCAGAACATACAAGACCAGCCATTCCTACAAATCATTGCAGTAGAGAGGAAACTTATTTTGCAGCTGTGGAAACTAATGACAGAAGCATGTATGATACCAATGAACCATGGAAATAAGAATACCTTGCACTTATATCGTGCCTCATATCTTTAAAGCACTTATGTTAGGACAACTCTCAACTGACCACTGATGTGAGGATTACAGGATCAGGCCCTCAACCAGTGAGGCAAGTACAACCCTAGTCCATGGCAGACAAACATGTACAACTGAGGACACCAAGTTTACTAGATTATTATACATAATATAGTACCCATGTGACCCAGATCATTAAGTCAGGGCTGAATTCTCCACTTATAACACTCTGATTACTGGTTTATCATTAACTGCACTGGAATTAACTTTTGATTTATACTAGTGTGAGAAGAGAAAAAAACTTTACATATAGTCTCAAAATTATAATTCTCTAGTTCTTCTAACCAAGGGGCTTTACTCATTTTTTTCCTCATCTGACATCCCACCCCCAAACCTGGACAAACCTATGCTGATTTTGGAGTTGTGTTGTATTTGTACAACTTAAAAAATACAATACAAATCCTCTGAAATCACAAAAACCCTCCAAACAGTCTTAACTGTTGCACCAGTAAAAAAGGGACTACCCTAGATTTTAAAAAGATACCAAGCACTGCTCTCCTGGAGAATATCCAGCACCCAATTGCACAAGCTGATGCTAGAAGGCATCTTCATCTGTATCAACATCACTGTTTGCTTTGGTTAGTCTCTCAAGCTCCTCTCCATCCTACAGGAGTCAAAAAACAGAGGGGAAGAACATATTAACAGCATTAGCAAATTTTCTTCTTGTTAATATTGCACAAATACTTACGTTGAAGCAGTCCAGTAACAAATATAAAATCAAGGACCTGGACTTAAAAAGTTCTTGAACTGGGAAACTAAGATCCTTGCGTAAGATATAGTATATAGCTGTTTCTGAAAGACAGTCCCCAGATATTTTTATAGCTAAATATTTACCATTTTACCTGGTGTACTTCCTGAATTTTTTCCAGGTGCATTGTATTCAGTTAAGCTAAACATGTCCCTTATTTATGTTGGCAAATACATAGGTTTGAGTAATTTGTATTGTAGCTAATTAATTACATATGCTGAAACATGCAGTGATTGATTTTATAAATGTGTGATTGCAGGTGTTACGTTAAATATCAATCTGCCATAGCATTGTGTAGAATTTCAATGAAACGGTTATACTTTTACTGGGACAAATGAAGTTTCCTAGGACTAAATGCAGACAGTGCCCTCTTCTGCTCACAGACCATAAATATAGTATACGTACTGCAAACCTACTCCTCAATTGGTGAAGTCTGGGAGCAAGCCCCTTTCTCACAAAAATGTTCCTAGATTCTAAACATCTGGGTCTTCAGTCATAGAAGAGCAGGAGGCTGGAGGAACTGATTCATGAAAAAGGACAACTTTCATGTTGAAAATCTGATATAAATATCCTTATCTGGGTTTTTTAAAGAAAAAAATCTTACCTGAATTTCATAAACATCCTAGACTGTTAAAATTCAAAAACTTTCAAATATCTTATTTATTTTTCTTTCATTCAGACTGAATGTTTACTTTCTGCATTTAGCTGAACCTGGGCTGCAAAAATGGATTAAACAATTTATCTTGTTTTTTATAATACCATATCTGGGTTTGATGGATAATTTGGTTGCAAATGCTAAAAGAAAATGTTAAATCAAACCCAAGATTGCTGCAGGGTCACAGCGAAGTAAGGTTTTGATCAGGCCTCAGGAAACAAGAGGAAACAACTCATACATTTATGGAGTTAAAACAAGGATTTATTTACAAGATTGAGATTGCAGATCTTGTGTCATTTAAATGAAATTGACAATTTGGTTGAATTATGAGTCTAGCCACATGCACAGTTAATGCTGAATGGGCAACTGGGTAAACAATCTATGAGAAAGGGAGTGAACTAGAGAGACAAAATTTCAAAGCCTTACCCCACTGGATCGCTCCCAGATCTCACCAACGAATTTGTTCCTCTCCTGCTGAGTGGCATATTCCAGGTCTTGAGGTTTGCTGGCATGGTAGATAAATATGGAGAGAAGCACCACAGGTGCTTCCAAGAAGAAGTCCAGAGAAGGCTTGAAATCAAAGATGATGATGGACACAATGGTGATGATTACAGTGGTGACCTGAGCAGTCAGGACATGGAACATGTTATCTCGGAATTTCAGGATGAAGGCCACAGACAGCCCTAGGAAGGCAGTCACAAAAATAAGTGCAACAGAGAACACGTTGTGGCCATAAAAGAAGCCACAGTACTCTATCTGCCAGCGGTTCTCAGAGCGCAGACCCAGCATCAACCCATTGAAAAGCACTCCAAAAATGTAGAGTTTGCTGTTCTGCACAAAGATACTTTCATGGTCCCCTTCCTTCAGAATCTTTTCATTATAGATGTTGGCCAAAGCGGAGATGAAACACTGCATGATTATGAGCAGATGGCCCAAGCCGAGGCGGAGAGGTTTCAAAGCTCCTGTAGTTGTAGCAGTGAAATTCCACTTGAAGCTGGGAAATAACTCTGTTACTGTACAATTGTCTTTTCCCCAGCACTCTTCCTCTGACTTCATGTAATGAAGGCAGCGATTAGATGAGCTGAAAAACATGTTGTGATGAAATCCATGTGTGGCCAAGCTGTGCTGATTGCTTCCGGTTCCTGCAGTCAGGGCTATGATGGACAGGAATAAAATGAGTAAAGAAGCCCACTGCACCAAGGAGAGTTGCCGTCTGTGTGTAGACAAAAAAAAAAAAAAAATTGTCCTTTACGATACTGGGACAGATGTTCAGCATCTTCAATACAAACTATGTAATCAACAAAGAAAGCTCCATACCAGCAGCAAATCCAGAGACATTGAGAGAGGGTAAAATCTCAGCTCCTTTGAGCAGATGGTAAAAACTCCCATTAACTTCTGTGGGGTGGGGATTTCACAGATTGGGGTGAGAAGCCTCCAGCCTGCAGGCTGGATCCCTCCCACCTCCTTATCTTGCAAGGCTCTGGGTATCCTCTTGCAATGGGGAAAGCCCGTGCTCATGCTCCAGCCTCACAGCAAGTTTCCAAGCCTCATCGCCCCCCTACCGCCGAGGCTGAAGCATGAGCACCAGCATGCTCTGCTGGGGGCTAAGCCCTGAGCCTTGGCTCCCCTGCATGGATGCCCTGGTGCTCCAACCTATTTGATTGGGGCCAGGTCAGCGAGGTTTTTTTTGCTGGGGGGAGGGGGTTTGCTTCTCACTTTTGTATCCCCCAACTGATTTTCTGAAGATCAGTGGCTCCTGAACAAAAGAGGTTCTCTACCCCTGAGCTAACCTTCATCTCAGAAAAGAAAGAGGCAGGGAACTCCAGAGCCTCACTTCAGCTGTCCTAGGGGAGTCCCTGCCTGACTCACAATGGCGATATCAGAACACAGAGAAGAAACTCTGTACAGATGGCACATTTAAGGAAAGAACCATTAGATAACATAGTTAACAGGCAGCAGCTAAAAATGACAGCTACCCTTTCCATGGAAATAGGTTAGAGCCATGGTCACCAACCTGTCGATCGTGATTGACTGGTCGATCCTGGGGGCCCAACTAGTCGATCATGAGGCTTTCGGCGTCCCTCCCTCGCCACCCCTCTCCTCCCAAGACGAACACTGCACTGATGCTACCTCCAGGGACAATGGAGGTAGCGCAGGCTTTTGGCAGGGTTGGAGAAAGTTCTGCAACTGCACGCCAGGTCCCAGAGGTACATGCGTTGCTCTTCCCTTCCCCCCGCCCCCCAACAGCCGACATGGTACCTAAAAACGACGGTCCATCACACACTGGGGACTTTGTTCCCCTGCTGCCTTCCTGCACCTGGGGAAGAGGGTGGGGTCCGGGGCTGTGACGGCTCCAGCTGCTAGGGCAGTGCGTGCTGCCGTGGGGAGTGGAGGAGGAAGGCACGCGCCACCTGAATGGCCCCCCCCCGGGGCAGGAAGGCAGCAGGGAAGAAAGTCCCCAGCACACCGGCTCCAGCTGCTCGGGCAGCGCGCGCTGCTGTGAGGAGCAAGAAAAATCAATGCTGAAATCTTGTGTGTTTGACATAATATTTTATTTAAAAATTAAGCTTGGCCAGCAAGCCCCCATCTGGACACAGCATCATAACATTCCTGTATCCCCCACCTCAACCCCAAATCTGAGCCTATCATACATTGGAACCCCCTGTCCAGAGCCTCTCTCATGCCCAAATTCCTGCACCCCCATATCTTCAGTCTTCTGCCATAACACACTTGCACCATTCACACACTACAAATCTGTGTCCGGAGCCCATCATACTCCCAACCTCCCTGCCCTGAGCCCTTCACACTCCCCAACCCAAACTTCTAACTTCCCCCCCACCCACAAGCCTGTGGCTTGCTCAGCACCCCAACCCTCCACCTGATCCCAACCCTCCCCAGCCTGGAGCCCCCACACTGAGCCAGCATCCCCTTCTCCACCTCCTCCTGCATCCAAATGGAGCTTGCACTTCTCACCCTTTCCCACACCTAAATCCCTCATTCCTACCCCAGAGCCCGCACATCCTGTCTCAACCCAGGAGGCTAGACTGCAGGAGTTTTTCCAGCAAACATGCTCTTTTGGCAGCCCCTGTATTCCTCATTCCACAAGGAATAAGGGGGCTTCCAAAAGAAGGGGTTTTCTGACATTTGGCCCAGTCTAGACAGGCCAAATGTCGGACAAATTTCTTCCAAAAGAAGGATAAAAAAAGCAGCACTGTAGCCATACCCTGAGAGTGTATAAGGGCCAGGGATGGCAAGTGATAGAAGGGAACAAAGAGGGTGGGACCTCAAGGAAGGGGTGGGGTCTTAGGGAAAAGATGGGGTAGATCTTGGCTTGTCCTGACATTTAAAAAGTTATCTTGGGTGTAAAAAGGTTGGAGACCACTGGGTTAGAGGGTACAAACAAAGCAAATGAATTCAAATAAATCCTGTTTTGCAAATTTTCACTTAAAGGAGAACAGAAATTTCTTTGTAATTAGGTTTGTGCCCTCTTTTACTATTTTATTGCGTTATAAAGGCAGCCATAAAAGGCTGTTTATTTTGCTTGTTTTTTACTTTAGAAATTTCTCCTAGTCTTGTTTATTCTAGAAGCATTTATGGCAACAGGAGAATTTATGACATCACAAAAGACGAGCGGCTGAGCAAAAGAAAAAAGGATTTCAGTCAGATTATCAAAAACCATTTTAAATTAACACTTATTTAACTTGAATGCCCATAAATACTTAGGAGAAAAAATGTCTTTGTTAATGATTTTACACTACTGACCCTTCAAGTAGGGTACAAAAAGTCAATATATATATTCCCCAGGATCTTCTCCACTACTGAAGTCCTTCTGCAAAGCACATAAGACTATGACTGACATATTGAGTATTTGAAAGGGAAAAATAATGTAAGTGGGTAGAAAGGATTTTGTTCTTCTTTAAACACAAATAATTTTTTAAAAGATCATAAGCTTGCTTTTTAAAATATGCTTCGCAATTCACTTGCCTCAGCAGATCAAACTAAAGAAGTCCATTAAATCTGACAATTATAACACACAGCACACTATCTATCTCTGTTCTCTACTGCATCTCCCATCTCTCATTTGTTTGTCTTCACTTGGTATGCAACATTTGCAGCTGGTAATAAATTAGAAAGATTTTTGCAAACATTTTCAAATAATTGTTTTCATCAAAATCTGTGAAAATTTTTAACTGCTCTAGTAAAATCTAGTTTAATTATATAAGCCTCAGGATACTGTCATTTTATGTTGTCTAAAATGATAAAATGCAACACTTCATAGATAAAAAAAGCTCTCTTAAAATGTAGTTACATTTAGGAGTCCATATCAGTAACTTAAGAGTAAAACACATAAAAATATTGCAGTTATCTCCAAAATAATATTAACAACCTGGAATTTTAGAATAAAGGGTAAAGTTAAAAAAACATCTAAACATTAAAGTATGGAAATGCACAATAAAGGCACTCACACCTTAGCTCGACTCTTTAATGATGCTATGTAATACAATGATAGAAAAATGAAGGACTGAGATAAATTTGCTGAGATTTAAACTTGTGGTTCCAATTAAGCTATGAATTGCATATATACTAAACACTTAACCTGCTATGCCATCCCTCTAGCTTGTATGTCAAAGACATCAGAAAATACAGAGTACTAAAAACACTACAGTCCTCATGTGGAGGGAAAGAATCCACTGTAACTTCCCCCATATTTATTTACTTTCAAATGTACTTACTTTAGCACTATCCTGAATAAGAGAGCTGTTGTTATAATGATAAAATTTGAAAATAATACAGCCATGGCCTAGAAAAAAAAGAAGAGGGAACATAGTTACAACCCAGACAGAATCTGATCAGCAAATCAACTCACACCATTCACTTCTCAGAAGGCCCCACGGCAAAAACGATCTTATTGGGACTGACCTTTCACTCCAGGGGAAATTCACTTCTGTGAGGAGGAACCACATGAGATCCTAAATAACTTGCCAGTTCCAAATTAATGGATTATCTAGTGTGCAGAAACTTTGCTAGGGTTCTCTGCAATGGGGAAGATTTCACCCTGGGCTAAACAGGATTGAAAAAAACTAGAATTGATTTCAGTGAGTGCTGGATCTAGTACTTTGGGCAAATAAAAACTATTCACGGCTGTAAAAATTAATACATAGAATATGTAGTCATTTAAATTGTAGGTATGCTACATTTCTTGCTGTTTGTACTTTGAAGTTTGAGCAATATTACTATCTCGAAAGAGCGCATGGAGACACATGTTTAAAGCACAGCTCCACTCCACTACTGTTTGAAAGTATCTGAGTCAGAACTTCTGATTTTGCTGAAGACAAAAAACAAAAACGGAGTGCCATATTTTTTTTACTCTGGCTAGCCATGCATATCCAATACAGCTTTGGGAGTCTATTCTGGCTCACTCAACAACTTAATTGTCAAGTAGGTATTAATTACAGGACTAATGCTGTTGCATAGAGGGAACAAAGCATAATTTGAAGATAACAGGTCTGCATGGGTGTAATGTGTGGAAGAAAAGAACCCAACTTGCCTTTCAAAAGCCAAGGCAATTTGCAGCAGTATTAAAGTAATTAAAACAACACTTGTTTTACTTGGGCAATCAGAGCAACTATGATTTGGATACTTCATAAATAATAGCATTTTTCAGAACAGAACCACACTTTAAAATCTTAAGAGTCAGAAGATTTTCAATTCAGGTTCCTACAGGGATTTTCTATAACTTAACTCTATTCTCAAAGGCATTCCAGATGGACTCAGGTAAGAAATAGGGGATTTGCCATTAACATGTCTGGCACAGAATTAACCACAGTCTTTGAACATAAACTACCAAGGAAAATTCAAAACTGGCCTCACCAAGCAGATTGTGGGATCAGTGAAAACATCCGCGAAAGTAACATTGATAGTACATGAAGTACCAGAGGAACCAATGTCTGTTTGAGACTTGTAGTATCTTATCTCCTAGAACCTTGTTTTTCTGGTGCAACTCGAGTGAACCCAGAACAAGTATAGAGTTTAAAACTAATTTTTCAAAAATATATTTGTTAAACGCCTCTGCTTTCCTCACAGCCTGGTTAATGAACAGTGACAAACCCAAAAATCTGGGTTTAACTCGTTTTGAGGTGTTCCCTGCACTCGACCTTTATGATGAAAATCTCTTTGTTACAGAATAGGTTTTAATCAAATATTTATATACATGTGTATAATATCCATATAGTGCATATAATCTGAACTTTGTTAAATGCTTTTAAATTCACAATATTCACTTTGCATTAATGTTGCCCTTGTTAACCAGTATAAACGGCAGCTTCATTCCATTATAATCTAATGTATTATTTGCTAAGTAGCACATCATATTTTCCAATATTGTGTTCCCATGTAAACAAAGATCTTAAGTGCAATGAATACACATAAGAGGTCACAGTAAGGTTTCCTCTGATTTTCCTGACTTGTAAAATCCAAGTCTCAATTTTTAGAACTGTTATTAGACCATTAAGCATAAAATGTCCTTAGTTCTGCTTTTAAGAGTAGGAAAAATATTTGACTAAATAGGTGAAGTCAGAATGGACAGTGGAGGTTCTTCAAAAGATGGACTAGCAAATACAGGACTGGTGCACAAAAGAAACATGCGCTCCATTTGCATTTTGTTTTTGCTTTGTGGTCATCAAAGTACAAATCAAAATCTGTAGAGACAGGACATGATAACAATCTATGGTGTTACACCCAACACTGGTTTCCAGTTTTTATTCACTGATGCCCCAAAAAGCAAGAAAACAGAGCAAGTATCAGAGCAAAATCTACCACAGACCACTAAGCAACACATCAGGTCTCAACCGAAATCAAATCTTATTTTTAAGTCATATTAAATAAACAACAGCCAAATACTAATTAACCTCCTATCTAGGTAGTTTTTAAAATCACATGAGACAAGGATGGCTATGCATCTTCTTTCATCCAACTAGATACTATCCCTTCAAATGCAGCTTACCATGCCTTCCAGAATTGAGTCAGTCCAGGAGCCACTTAAATCTGAAATGTTACGATTCTTGTTTTACCATTATAGGGCTACAATTTTAATAAACCTCTATGAAATATGCCAGATGGAAAGTTAAAGAAAATTTATATGAAGGAAAGGAAGGGTTTTGAACAATGTTCACTTTGAGGGAAGAAATACAAATTGCTAGTGTGGATACAAGCTTTCTGTGTGATACCTGTATTATAAAAGATCCCAACAACCAAAAACAAAATTGCTTATTTAATAAAATAACTGCATGTGGATATAATCTTTCAAACATCAGATCCTGTAATTTATTCAGGACTATACTGTGCTCACCTTTAAAAAGCTATGAAAGCAGCACGTGTTATTTTAAAATACCCTTTGAGCCCTAAAAAGACAATTTTTAGAAAAAGCCTCTGAGTTAAAATAAAGGTTTAGATTAACTATAGTTTCTCTAGTGTCATGATAACTACATTGAAAATTTCCTGTTATTTTATTAGTCAAAACTAACCATTTGTTTCTAGTCAATACTAGTAAAACTTGAAACAAACAAATAATTCCCAACCCTAAAAGGAAGATCTCAATTTTTCTGAAAACTAGATTTTATTAGTAGAACTTGGAATCAAACAGCAAATATCTGTTACACTGGTATCAATAAAAATTATCAAGTATTAGAGATAATTACATGCAAAAAATAAGCATCTAAAACTCTTTCCTCACCTCTTCCTCCCTACTTTTGGTGTTTAATCATAATGGTATTGGTGCAGAATGAAAGCAAAATACAAAAATGACTGAAGTCATTTGTATAAACACATTAATGGCAGGAGCCATATGATAGATGAGACTCAAAACCCACCTTCAAAACAAACTGATATGCTGAGCTCAAGAAAGGAGGAGGCAAGACCAAGTCTTGTATCACTTTGAAGCCACTCAACGCTACCTCTAAATCAGGCAGGAAGTAGATTCTTCAGAAAGATTCTCTCTCAAATGGAAGCTACAAAACAGGATCTGATGGGCAGTTGGATGGAAGGGATTAATAAACACAGTCCTTGTGCCTTAGACAGGGCAACTAGGATCACGAAACCCCAACTAACAAAATATCAACAAGAGAGAGACTTGCATCACTTCAATGCTATTTTATTTGACCGGTGTATACTTACTGGTTGGAGGTAGGACAATACATAAAAAACAATCAGGTTATCCAAAAAGTACAAAAAGGCAGGAATTGACCACTTCATGTAGTTACAAAATGCCCTCCATGAAGTGCATCCGAAGTCACCATATGACTGTCCCTCTAAAAAAAATAAAATAAAAAATGAAATAAATCAGCCAGTAAAATAAACTTGATTAGAATTATGAAAAAAGACTTTCTAGATTAATAGAAGTGTGTTTTAATTCCAATCTGACAGACTACCAATTGCTTGTTTTGTTTGTTTTAAAGCAAATTTAGTGTTTGATGAATCGTGTCAGAATGACAACCCTGGAGATTTTAGTCTTCCATTAACTCACAGGATATACACAACACAGGCAGCACTAGCTTCCCCCATATTGTCTTGTTAATCTCTTCAACTGTTTACCTAAAGCCACAACCTGTAAGAGGAGTAAAAATTCAGTCTCCACAGTCATTCAGTGTTCTGCCTCAGCAGAGAGGCATCAACAAGGCTGGTGGTATTTTTACATAATATTAACTAGGAATGAGAATGAGACTACCCATCATTATTGATGCCCAAAGAATGGCAGTCAGATAGAAATGGCTCTTGCTGACTATTGAGCATGCCTAGATTTAAAAAAATAGCCTAGATTTAAGAGACTAGTTTATATAGTCTCAGAAGTACAGTAGTAGCACTTTACAGAAAAAAAAGACAGTCCTCGTTCCCACTGAGCTTACAACAGAAGACATGGCATGACAAGACAAAGCAGAGAGTAAGGCAGTGAGAGGATGCAAGATTATGAGCCTTAGGTAGGCCATGCCTATAATATGACTTTCCATAACTAGATTCTGTAGGATATCATCAGTGTGGACACTTGACCACAGAGACATTACTCCTTCAAATGTGAACTTTAAAAAACAGTATTTATTTTCTGAGCACAGGGAAGAGGATGCAGGTGGCACAAGCATGTGCCGTCTTCATGGTCTGTGAGGCTCTGCCCCAGGCATCCCCAAGAACAGCTGGATGCTGCTGAGTTGGTGCCGTAGCGCCGCCCCCGGCTCTATTGCAGGCATCCCCGATTCAGCTGCTGCTGAAACTGAACAGCAGCGGCTGAATCAGGGACACCTGGGGCAGAGCCAGACTATCGTAAGGCGGGGCTATGACGGGTCTGGGGTGGCATCCCCTCCCACCCCACTCCAGGCCCCTCATAGCCCCCCCTTCTGATAGTCTGGCATATCTGATAATCCGACACCCCCTGGTTCCTAAAGGTGCTGGATTATTGGAAGTTTACTGTAGTTTGTTGGGTATTACAATTACATGTGAAAAAAAAGTTTCATTTGCTTTGCTTTTTAACACAACGGCTGTGCACTGCACTTATGATCTTCTGAACCTGGCTTTTTCATTAGCATTTGTGGAAAGCAATATTTTACTTAGGCTCCTTTTCAGTCTTTATTATAAAATGGTTGAAGTCCATTCTCTCATATACAAAAGTATCAGTATTCTGCTATTTTGCTCTATGAAATGGTGAGACTGACCCCAGAGTCTTGTCATTTTATGAAGATACAGAGAAGGCTAGGTGGAAAAGAGAATCTGCATCCAACAATAATTTTGTTTTCTATTGTACCTTTCTGACGAGTCTCTCAAGGTGTTTTTAAAACATTAAACAAGCTTTAGAAAGCTTACTGGACAACAGAGCATTCAAGGGATCTGTTCAAAGTTATACAATGAACAACACAACTAGCAGAACAAGCAAGTATCATTTCCAATTATCCATTTGAATGGCCGTTTTTGCACAAAAACTCTGCAGTGTAGATATAGCCATAGATGTACATGTTTTGCAAGATAATTATCCATAAAGAGTAATATACAAGTCATCTACGGAAAGCTTATAACTTGTAAAGATTCATAATCATTGCAAGATGCACGTATGGGTAGTATTTCAGGAACAATGTAGTTATATTGAAAGTATGCTTTAAGGACTGGGAGTAAAAATAAGACACCAAGGCATAATGTGTCTCTGTGATGACTCATTTAAACAGAGAGAGATAGCACCCTCTGCTCTGGTTAGCCAGTGTCGAAGACTAAATTATCTAGCCTTGCTCACTCCCAATACTTCCAACTGAAAACCATCAGAGGCAACTGCAAACAACTGAAACCACTTGGAAGGGAAATAGAAACACTAACCCGCCTATGAATACAGATAAAAGAGGGTATGTCTGCACTATAGGATAAGATTGAATTAAGATGTGCAATTTCAGCTATTTTAATTGCATAGCTGAAGTTGAAGTACCTTAACTCAAATTTTGGCACTATCCACGCTGCGGGAAGTCAAAGGGAGAACACCCTCCCTTCAACTTCCCTTACTCCTTGTGGAAGCAGGACTACCAGCTTCAACAGGAGCGCCCCTCTCAGCTCAAATTAGTGTGTCTTCACTAGACATGCTAATTTGAACCAGGGAAGATTGACAGCAGCAGCTTCAATCTTCTCTGTAGTGTAGACATACCCAGACTGTTTTAGTACAACACAGAGTGTGGAGAGCCACTCAATATATTTCTTTCCCTTACTCCTTGTGGAAGCAGGACTACCAGCTTCAACAGGAGCGCCCCTCTCAGCTCAAATTAGTGTGTCTTCACTAGACATGCTAATTTGAACCAGGGAAGATTGACAGCAGCAGCTTCAATCTTCTCTGTAGTGTAGACATACCCAGACTGTTTTAGTACAACACAGAGTGTGGAGAGCCACTCAATATATTTCTATT